TGTCCGTTCAGTTTAAAGCAAATTGTGTTCGAAAATCTTATCAATGACAAAAAGAATATACCTAGAAAGAAAAAAGAAATATTGGTAGAATTGATGGAAAGGTAACTACTGACTTAAATAAAAACTGTTACTATATGATGTAGATAAATCTGTAGATCTGTAGTTTTCACGCACAACACAACTGTAGAATGATCTATCGTCAGCGGTATTTTCGAACCAAGATGACCTTCAAACCATCAAGAAAAGAGCGTATTCCTTTTTAAAAGACAACGCAACTGTGACTCCTCTGGTGTTGCGAGTGTCCATGGGCGGCACTGATCGCTTACCATCAGGTGATCCATCTGCTCGTTTGCCTCCTATTCCATAAATAAAAGATAGAAACCGCAGAACGCGATACGCTCATATTCCTATAATCTATTACAGGTCAAACGATTCGTCGGTAATGGTTTTCTATTTGCACTCAAATATTTAAATAACATAACATCACGTCTTTTATCCCCGGAGGGGTAGGCAAATGAGAACATTACGGTACTTAATGCCACTGTACTGTACAATGTAAAACCCACTTTTCACTATATATGTTATAAGTCCCATACCATAAATACCGTAAGCTACTGCCATATATCGGGCACCATTCCAGACTCCGTGCTACTACTGAGTTTTTAAACCCAGTAATATTTGGCCGACCTGGTAATCGAACCCGAGACTCCTTGCCCGACAGTCGCACTTGCAACCAGTCGGCCAACGAGGCCGTCATCGTCAGCAATCATTTAAACCATATACCACAAAACTCCACCTAATTACCAAAAACATAGGGACTAATTTACCTAACAATTAAACCAGTCGTATTAGTAGGCTTAGTAACGGTATAAAATACCACTATATCTAGGGGCACAGTGAAGCCAAGCATGTAATCTATTGGCTCTTAATTTTATGCAACGCCTTGGCCGCTTGCCCAGTTCTCAAGTGATATAGTGGAGGGATATTGACCAGTTTAAGTGTTCTTACCAACCGAAACACACTGATAATAATAGATCTTCTAACTGTGAGAGGTATGTGAACTCAATTTACAGAAGTTGTTACAACAAAATATATTGTCTTTGATAACTAGCTTATTTCTCCAGTACCTTTAATAATATGGTATTTCAATACTATTAGGTACTACTTACCTACTTTTTTTGAGGGGATAATATCATCCAATGACTTCTTTCGCCTAGAGTGAGGTAAACGAGAGTGTCAGACTTTTACTGACTGAAAACCATCCCGTTCCTGTACCTGTTCTTCGAACCATGGAACCGCAGACCCAGCAACCAGTTAAGTCTTCTGTGTCTCCGCTAAATCTTCGCGGCTTTACTGATCAAGATCGCATAGAACATTTATGAAAATGGTGAGTAAGAGACTAGTTGGCGTATGTATATGTGGGAGTATTATTCCTAGTCACACTAAATCGCTGACTGAGAATTCGCAACCGAGACTATTAATTGCCAATACAGCAGTCGAGCGTAGCACTTTAAGCGACATTTCAGACGAATTTCAACACTTAATTCCTAGCCTAAACTATCAACACAGCCTACCCAGACTCCAGACAAACAAATGACGTCAAAATCCCAAAGCAAGTTATAAATTCGTCATCAAATCCTTTAACAAACGGTGTCATTGTAGAGCAAGTTTATCCGTTAGCACAACAAAGCTCAGATGGCCCGTTAAGTACCCATCAAGTAAAGCCTAAAGCATTAAAGTATCTATGGCTTATAGGCTAAAATCCTTAGCCTAGGACTAATCCATATAAATTACCCTGTCTTTGCCTAAGATTATATTTTAACATTTCATTTAATATGTTTGAATTAATGTAACGAGCTCCGCTATATGTTTAAACTTATGAATTCAGACTTATGTTAATGAGAGTCGAAAGCCAATTTATTTTACTAATAGTATGAATAATGTAACATAATGTCACGTTTGTTTTTGTTTGTAGGTCTTTCTCATTTGAAAGAGGCCGGGCAGCAATGCTCTCTGGTGTACCCGAACCTTTTATACAACACTAATTTTCAACAAGAATATCTCAGGTTTTTCCAGTTTTGAAATCGTAGCCTGTAAGTAATTCTTAAACTATCAACACACAAGTCAGAAGTTACAAAAATATGCACTTATTGCATGAACATTTTCAATATACACATTTACATCAGCCAATTAACATATATTACAATTTCCATCACCAGGAGAGAGGCATAATAGAATAAAAATTTTAAAGGAAAAATTGTTTTGACTGCAAACCCAACAAGGCTAGACGGTTAAAATGAAATTTATTTGATAAAGTTAATCTCCCTACGTAGCAGGCAATTTGGGAAAATTTATACAAATTCAATAATTTTGATAATGTCTCCCTACTTGATGTCTGGTGGAAATATTTGCTTTCCAGTATTATTACCTATATATGTCTAGCCAGGAATTATGAAGTTTGAATTTGGATCTGTATTTAATTACTAAGGTACGTTACATATTTTGTTTTACAAATTACGTATCCTACAAACAGAATCAGAATCATCATCATCATCAACAGCCGAAAGACGTCCACTGCTGGACAACGGCTTCCTTTAGTCATCCATGTCGAAATACAACACGCCACCTGCATCCACTGCCTCCCCGTAACTCTGGCGATATCGTCGGTCCACCTAGCGGGAGGCCTGTCCGCGCTTCGTCTTTTGGTCCATGGTCTCCACTCAAGGTCTTTCCTGGCCCATCTGCCGTCAGTCCGTCGAGCGATGTGGCCTGCCTATTACCATTTCAGTCTGCAGATTTGCGAACTATGTCGGTAACTCTAGTTCTTAGGCGAATATATAAATATTTCGGATTTTGTTACACAAAGAAAGCCGGAGTATAGCTCTTTGCGAGTGACTTTGAGTATCTCCCCTAACCAACACTTACTGCTTTCATAATTCTGACTGCATGGTTGGTGCGGTGGCTAGGCAACCGGCTGCCGCGGAACGTGTAGCGGGTTCGATCCCCATACGGAGCAACTCTTTGTGTGATCCACAAATTGTTGTTTCGGGTCTGGGTGTCGTGTGTATGTGATATTGTATGTTTGTAACCGCACCCACGACACGGGAGAAAATGCTAGAGAGGGGCAACGTTTTTAAAAAATATATATATGACTTTTATTTGTAACTGTGAATTGCATTAAGTCTAGTTGATACTAATAGTTAACCAATAATATTAAGAGTGAAAAAACAGGTAAAATTAACAATAAAAGAAAGTATTCAAAGACAAAATCTTAAATATCACAATAAGTATTAGAAATATAACAACGCTAACAATTCAAACTAAATCCCGAGATATATCAAAAGCAACGAACGATGATACAAATAATATTTTCCTCTGAAATTCCATTCTTACACGCCTCATGACAGCTAGTAAGAAACACTTGGGATACTTGCCAAACGAATTTGAAGCTTTTGTCACTAACGTTAAAGTCTTTAACGATCAACTTGATAGGGACCCAGGTGGTTGCCTCAAGCAAGAATTGAAAAATAATTCCAAACACCTTTTTCGAATACTGAAAACGTATTTTCTTTAACAAACGACGTTTCAGGAATATTTAGTTATAAAGTGATGATGGAGCCAGTGTTTTTAGAGGTTGTTTGCGTGAAATAGTGTATTGAGAACTTTTTGGTTAAGGACCAAAGATTCTAGTGGCATTGGTTGAAGATTTTTGGCTAAAGACCATGGGAAGTTACATTTCAGAATGTTCCAAAATATCTTAAGCATAATCACACCACAGAAAGTAGTTATAGTATTAGTTAGTATTACATTAAACAGTAATATACCCGTATTCTGCAAATAAATAAACAATTTTAATTTGAAGTAACTATTCTTACAATTCGCTATTTAGAATTGGGATAGCATTTTTGAGATAGAATTATATAAAGGTATCAAATTGAATACTTAATAGAATATTTTTTTCCAAACATATACTCTAAGGAATCAAAAGCACAATTTTTCTTCTCCTCTTATAATATCTTCTGGTTCACTTCGTTGCGGGAACCAAGACAGTTATTCCTGTCCCTGGGACGCGCCGGACTTCAGTGTTCCGGTGTTTTCATGGTTGTATCTACTGTAGATCCTGGCTTACAGTAGTTGCAGCGGTTTCGGGACGTTGTGGCGGGCTTGTCCCAAAAAAAAAATCTAAAGCACAAAAGGTAAGTTTCCAAAATCAAATAAAATAAAAATTAAATTTTCGGACTCTCCCGTATTCTACTCAGATTTTTCACAAATTCTCCGTATCGGACTTCCAAAAGACTCCCAAAAGAACCTTTTCGAGGACTCCTTCTACCTTTATAATACACACTTAATTTGCGATTAAACTGCCTCGCCCAACTCAACAGGAAATACCTATTTTACTCGAAAAAAGGCCGTTTATCCAAGATCTTTATTCAACTTTTACACTTTATAGGAAAACGGCTCTCAGCTGTGTTTATAGTAAGCACATTTTTGTTTGCAGTGCGACTTGGTATAGTTTATTAGTGTAAGCGCTTTGTTAGCACCTGTAATAGAGCTAATGTTAGTTGAAGTTTTTATAATTATTTATTTTAAAAATATGGAAAAGGAGTAATGTTTTTATGCTGATTATTTATTGATTTCTTAATACACATAGATTATTTTATGTACATAAATTATACTGTACAGTTCTGTACTGTAATACATAACTGTAACTTCCTTACAGTTATGTGCACCCAAATAAAAATCCGTTTATAAAAATTGATTTTATTTATATTAAAATATACAAGCGGTGACAAAGAAATAACAAAATCAATATTAAATATTGTTGTCAATATTAAATGATTTAATTACGCATAAATTGTACGTATTGTACGCGTAACTTAAGCATTTTTTACTTAAACAATTTATTACTATTTTCACATAACATAAAGCTTATGACTACACAATATACACTCTTATATAATATAGTAAAAACATAGGTACACTAAAATATCTTCATTTTGAAAAAAAAAATATCAGATCGATATGAAACGCACAGAGACTCAGAAAATGTATACTAAAAACTCCTAGCTCTGTGTACGATTTTGATCACAAAAGCCCAGCATACACCGGCGGAGGCGCGGCAAAGATGCTGAGAATAAATCAATTTAAAGTAAATCTTAACTACTATGGCATTTGGATGAAAATGGCATGCCGAAGATAGGAGGCACGGGGTGGGTCGTCAAGTGTGCGCTGGGGTTAAGCGATCACCTTTAGGCTTAGAAAAGTATTAATATCAAGAATTTAAAAATGCGATTTCACAAATGATACAACTTATAATTATGACACGTTTAGTCATCGTCAATCCAAAAACGATTCTTACATTTCTCGTATGACTTCACCGAACATTATAATCTTACAGATAATTTCTATAGTGAACATTCGCACTAATTAGATGTTGAGTTGAATATAAAAGTCATTTATCATCTTAACCAATCAGTAAACTTTGATCTTTTTGAGAGTATAGAACACTAACCTATGTATATGACGACTCCTCTACACTCTAAATATCTTAGGTAATCTAGGCTTCATACAAAAATGCTCCGATACAAAGATGCTCTTGCCTGTCAATAGAGGTTTTCTTGGCCTATCAAATCCTTGTTTCCTTTGGCTAGTCATTCGAAAACTACATACATTTCCTAAAAAAAAGATAAGTATTCCAATAGGCCTCCTGTCTTCAAACGACAATCTTTACAACATTTTCGTCGTAACCCAAAAAAAAACACATACTTATTCCTTTTTATTTTTCTTCCGGAACTGTTTGATTATCATGAGGTTTACAATTGAAAGCTTTCAGAATAAAGACGCCATTGTTATGTTAAGTTAGGGCAGTTCCCAGTTCACTTCGTCGTCGTATCGCTGGTGCACCTCTAGGGGCGCGAACAACTTCGTTTTTGCGATCAAACCTGGAAACACATAATTATATTGTCAATTTACATAAACACATTGTTTTTGGACGAAAAAATGAGCACGTAGGTGCTTATAGGGAAGTATTTTTAGCTTATTTTCGACTGAATTGTCTAAGATGAATCTTGACATAAGGTTTGAAAAAAAATTTTTTTTTTGGGATAGGCCGGTAAACGAGCCTACGCACCAACTGATGGTAAGCAATAGCAATAGGCACTGCCCATGGACACCTGAAACACCAGAGGTGTTACAAGTGCGTTACGTTACCGGCCTTTTGGGAATTAAGTGTCCGATAACCTCGCTCACACGACGAAACACAAAGCAAGCGTTGCTTCACGTCGGTTTGATGAGGCCGTGGTCCAACTCCGGTCGAACCGGCCCATTCGTGAGGAGACATCTCTCTCCCACACTTAAATCTAAATTACTTACAAACTAGCGATTAGAAAACCCAATAACGCTTTGCTTGAACTGAATAATAATAAGTTAAGTAAGCCTACAACCGTTTACTTTGTTCTAGAACCTTCCTAAATCAAAAACAGCTCGAAAAAATCATCGCAAACAAACTATAAGAGGAGACCACTTTTCCCGAACCTTCCAATCGTCCCGTTATCCCGTAATACCTACATCCAATTAATTAATGAATAAATCCAATGAAGGGTTGAACCGGGAAAGGGAATACTCCAATTCGCCCCTTATGTTAAACTCTTACCCGGTATCGACAAATTTAGAAAACGCTTGTAAGTAAAAGACCCACACTGTTGTTAGGGAGTATTTTCATTGGAATTAGATTTTAATTTATTTCAAGTTACTTATTTTAACGGCAATTTTTACCTGGATATTGTGCTATTAAATACTAAAAACTAGTAGGGTAAGTAATTTAATTATAATTAAAATATAAAAATTATAAATTTAAAAATATATTAAAATAGATAAAAATAAGTACAAATTATATAAAGCTAATTATACCTAATCACTTTTATCGTTTTGTTCCATAATTATCCTGACCGATCCAGATTCGCCTGGGCTTCACTACCCACGGCAGATCTTATGATCTTTCTAAGAAGTCTGGATAAAATATCGTAATTATCAAAATAAGTGATCTATATTTAATTTTGTGAAGATACGAATAGGTCTATTTTATCTATCTATACGTATACCGTAACGAAAAACGAACTTTATGAAAATAAAAAGCTATTTTTTTCTATATGGTATGAAAAATGGAAATTACGTTTATTATGTGCTTTGAACATTTCTATTTTTTAAATAAAGGCGTGTATGGGGGTATGTACGTACGTAGTACGTTACGATAACATTATTAAAAAATATTTTTAGTACAGTTATATAGAGCGGCATAGACCCTTAGTAAACTCGAAAATTCCAAAGCATTGTCACCCGAAGAGAAACATTGCATCCATGATATTTCGACGTGCGGGTTTTAATCAAACCTGATTTGTTAATCAAACGATTCGTCGGGATAAAATAAATCCCTACAACGAACGGACGGCCGTACAAATTGTATTAAATTTTAACAGGCTTTTAGTCGCTTGAGTTGTGTGAAATTAGAGATTATTCAGACCAATGAATTCGTGTTGAATCTGTTTCTAGAATCATCTTTCAAATAAATAATATTCTAACGGCTGTAACTGCTACCAGTAAACCGTTTTCTATGAGGATGGTTCCAATATAAAATATTCGTTTATATTAGATTGAATAAATTAGCTCCTTATTTGAAGTTTTATTTCTCAAAGAATAAAACATTAACTTTTATATATAATGTTTTGAATTTTCTCATTGCAATAACAAAGAGCATTATTATAAACTGTATTTTATTATATGCTAGACTCAACTAACATATTATTTATAGGTCTATACACGTTTTTTTTTTTTATATTATAACTTCGTTCTAAATTAATTAATATGTAATGTCAAGAATTATATAATATGACTCGAGTAGCCAGTAGCAGCGCGACAGTCGCCGCATCGCGGGTCGTGGAATGCTTCTCATGAATATGAGCCTCTAGCATGGCTTGAAACTAGTCGCGTTCATCGTCAAATAATTACGTTAGTAAGCCGGAAAAACATAATAATTAATAGAATATTTCCTCTGACTTGAAATTTGAAGAATTGCGGCTCTGTGCATGGTTATATTCCAGGGTAGGTCTAACAAATTTATTCCATTGTGTATGTTTGTAGGCCTTTGAGCTGCCTGGTGTATCTTTAGCCAATGACCTTTGAGCGAAGGATACACCAAGGGACAAACCTCCTGCGACACGTGTAGCTAGCGACGTCGGATGAAATAGCGCGACCTTGCCGGACTTTGGTCGACCTGCTGGCAACGTCAACATCACTGTTTCTTTTTTTTTTAATGAATAGGAGGCAAACGAGCAGACGGATCACTTGATGGTAAGAAATCAGCGCCACCCATGGACACCCGCAACACCAGAGGAGTCACAGGTGTGTTGCCGGCCATTTAACTCGTCGAGTACCGTCATTATAGACACATACATTATAGAACAATAGGTTACGGTCACCGGTGACCGCTTGGTGTTTGACAGTTTAAGAAGGAATACGCTCTTTTCTTGAAGGTTTCACTGTGACATAAGTTGCTCGTTGTCACCATATATATCAGAGGCCTTAGTACGAGCTTGTTCTACGTTTAAAGTAATCGTAACAAGTACGCGTTCGGCGCTCTGATTGGTTGGTTAATTGGAGCCGGCCAATCAGAGCGGCGAACGCGTACTGGTTACGATTACTTTAAACTCCTAACAAACTCGTACTAAGGTGACATCGCCCGGCTTCGCTCGATTATTATGTCGCCGATACATGTCTTGGTACATTTGTCCCCTAGTGTATTTGGCTTTATAATGCGAGGGTAAAAATATCACAATGCCGCCCGGAAAACAGAAGCAGATTAAATCGATTTTTTAAACATAAGAAGATAGGCTTATTAAAGTACTCCAACATTCCTATTAAATTCATATTTTGACAGAGTTTACTTCGAATTTTATTCCGAATTTCCTCAAAGCGATATTTGTTCTTTCCGCCTAAAACTTCAAATACGTGTAAGTTCAATTTAACTTTGGAATTCCGTGTCTGTAATCTGTATATGTTTATTTGCTTTAATTTAAAGAATTTCATCCGGTTATCTCGTAAATCATTTGAACATATTTAAATCATTTTTGGTACATATTTATCGATTCATTTCAACATCAGCCTGTTTTCGTCCACTGCTGGACATAAGCCTCTCTAATGGCACGCCACTGAGCTCGGTCTTCAGCTCTACGCATCCAACCACTACCAGCCACTATACGTATATCGTCACTCCACCTAGCTGGAGGGCGCACTACACTACGTTTGCCTAGACGCGGTCTCCACTCCAGAACACGTCTACCCCAGCGGTCATCGGTTCTTCGACAAATGTGACCGGCCCACTGCCATTTCAGCTTGCTAATCCTTTGGGCTACATCTGTAACTTTAGTTCTCTGTCGGATCACCTCGTTACGGATCCTATCCTTCAGAGATACTCCGAGCATAGCCCTCTCCATAGCTCGCTGCGTCACCTTAAATCGGTGGACCAGTCGCACTATTTATCCATTAGCCAGCCAGTTTATTGCACAATAAAAAATATTTTATGATTTTTTCATTTTCCGAAGATCTTTTATGTTGCTACTGGCTACATGGACCTGAACTCACTTATACTTACATAACATCACGCTTTTTATCCCCGAAGGGGTAGGCAGAGGAGCACATTACGACACTTAATGCCATTGTACAATGTAACATTTTTCACTATTTGTGTTATGAGTCCCATGTAATAGGGGGTGAGCCTATTGCCGTATACTGGGCACAATTCCAGACTCCATGCTACTACTGAGAATATTAAAAAAAAAAGTATAACGGATACTTTGCCCGACCGGGAAATCGAAACCAAGACCCCGGCCAACGAGCCGCTTTCTGAAGAAAGTTTGTGATAGGTATACCTTCGAACTTAAACTCAACAGTAAAGGCCTTAAATTTAATAAATATAAACACTACCATTAATAAACTACAGATTGAAAAGATAAGAATCTGCCATCAAGTTTAGGTAACAAAATAATCTCACTGTAAAATATCAGCCAACTAAATCTCGTTTAAACACTAGATTTGTAAATAGACACTAAATCAGTGAAGTTTGTTTTCAATTATAATTTATACCTATTTGTTATTATACCTTAGGAAAATTACCAAGGAAAGTTCGACTGGAACATGGTTAAATAAGACAGCTAAATGTTTCAGTAAATAACATTGTATTTACCCTATGTTATGTTTTGTATATGTCCCTAAAATTTATTATTAATAAGGTGTTGTATATTTTGTATAGTAACAACTTATTCATCTTAAACATCTTAATTATTATGTTATCGGCTTAATCAAGTAACCGTTTCGCGAGGAACTCGACTTGTTTCAAGCAATTAGAGGCCCATTCAGCAGCATTCTGTGACACGCGACCCAGTGACTGTCGCGCTGCTACTTTGTCGTATGCTTCTATCTTAGTTTGGAGTTATTATACCATTAAGCATGAGTCAAGAATGTTTTTATAATAACTACCGTGAGACGTACTAAACTAAGTAAAAATCGCAGGTTACTTACGTGAAAATACTGAGAAAAGCTCTACTAGTTTCGAGCCATAGAAGAAGGCTGCGCGACATCGCCACGAACGCGCACGCTGCTCATGAGAAAAAGCCCCCCTGTGGCTTTTCTCTGTATTTTCACGTGAGTAACCCGCGATTTTTAGTTTAAGAAAACGATTTCTCAGATTCCAGACTCACTAAGTCTAATTTGAAGTCTAATTTGAAGAAAACGATTTCTCAGATTCCAGACTCACTAAGTCTCGAATCTGAGAAATCGTTTTCTTCAAATTGTAGACTCATGCTACGGGTCGATGTCCTTTTTAACCGACTTTCCAAAAAGGAGGAGCTTGTTTTATAATAACCACGAAATATCTAATGAACTTTCAACTCGGTCACATACATAACCAACTTCCCACGATTAACAGAGAAGTAAAGTATTTGGAATCTCAAACAAACAAAGACACTAGTTTCAAGCAAAATAAATATATAAAATAGAAAGGCAATTAGAAACAGTGAATGTCACCAGCAGTACATACCGGAAATGAATCCCGTTCCGAATGACAGTACCAGCGTAGTTGCAAGGGCTGCCAACTGATATGCAGCTTGCATCGAACTCGATCTGCCGTCCTGTGTTGAAAAACAAAAACGTTTAGAAAGATATAGAGGTATGTAGATATATTAAGGGTTTTTTTAAGGGGGGAAAATCATGGAATGATTTCTCCCGCGTGTAACCCCTGGTAACCTGTTAAGATCTCCGCGGCTTCGTATCGGCATCAGCCCTATCTACCTACATACCTATACCGGGCACAATTCCAGACACCGTGCTACCGCTGAGACTTTTAAAAAAATCCAATAATACTTTGCCCGACCCTGGAATCACACACAATCGACACTCGGCCAACGAGGCAGTCCGTTTCCAGTAACTCCGTATAAAAAATGTCTTACCGCAGCTCCTGCACTGAAGATATTGCTATACTCGGAGCCATACGTGTCGACAGTGGCGATAGCTGCGAAGAGAGCTGACAGTAGACCAGAATATACTCCAGGAGCGCCGTGCAGGTTGTGCACACCACATGTGTCCTGGATGCCGATCTTTTCTAGCAATGGCTGTGTGAGAAAATACGTTTATTAATATAACAATTAAATATATTTCTAAAGTGAAATAATCAGTAACATCATCATCAATACATAGTATAAAACAAAGTCGCTTTCGCTGTATGTCCGTATGTATGCTTAGATCTTTAAAACTACGCAACGGATTTTGATGCGGTTTTTTTTAATAGATAGAGTGATTCTTAAGGAAGGTTTGTATGTATAATACATGCATATTGCATCCGTGCGAAGCCGGGGCGGGTCGCTAGTTTATATTAAAACTCTCGTGAGACATACTGAATTAGTTATTATATTTTCGGCTTATCCACGTAACAATTTGACGAGGCACTCGACCAGCCTCTAGCATGGCTTGATACTAGACAAGTTCTTCGTCAAACAGTTACGTGAGTAAAGTAATGCCGAAAACATAATAATTAATCATTAACATTATTTGTAAGTTTTAAAGAGATATTATTACAATAGTTAAATGGATTCTGATTTACGCTCTAGTTTAAAAAAATGATAAATCTAGCGTAGCGTCTTCATGGTGGCTGTTTTTGAAGTGTCGAAACATCGGGTTTTTATTTTTTTACAACACTTTAAACACAATCACACCCAGACCCGAAACAACAATTTGAGGATCACACAAACAATTGCTCCGTCCGGGAAGTGAACCCGCTACACGTTGCGCGGCTGCTAATTGCCCAGCTAGCGCGCTAACCGTGCAGTCAAATTGAAACCAAGTAATTAATAAAAGTGACAGAATTCCGTTTTTAATTTCAAGTTTACACTAGTTTACTTGTAACAAAACATATTGCCATTTATATAAGTCCCTTAATAATAAAAAAAATACCTTAAAATACAAATTTTAACATACTTACTACATTATAATATTTTATTTAATCTCATTTATGCCACCGTTTGATACAGGTTAACATTGCCGAGGGCACTAAACGGTACAAAAATATAATTACAAAAAAACGAAATAAAGATATTTTAATTAGTACTTTTGTATTACTGGTGACCATTACGTGGGACCCTGTTTAATGTACTAACGACCCTTTCAAATGTGAGAACGCTTGGGTCAAAAGGATGTAAGTACATCTGGACAGTACTAAGCTTAATAGGTGAAGTACCTACCACATTCTATTATTATATTGTATTATCACGAGAGCCATGCTTCGGCACGAATGGGCTGGCTCGACCGCCCTCACAGAAAACTGACGTGAAACAATGCCTGCGTTGCGTTTCGTCATGTGAGTCCTCACTCAGGAAGAGGTAATAGGTTACCGGAAACCTAATTATCTCCCTCCCCGTCCCTAATCTCCCAAATCCCTGAATCCCCAACAATACTTAAATTCGTAATACCCAAAAGATAGGTGACACACTTGTAAAGCCTCTGGTGTTCCAGGTGTCCATGGGCGACGCCGATTGCTTACCATCAGGTGATCTGTCTACTCATCAGCTAATTCCATAAAAAGTACAGCTGGACAGTTCTAGGATTAAAAGCTATTCTATTGCTAGCTATTCTATTGTATTAATAAGCTAGAAGTAACGGAAATGATTAAATTTATATTATAAAGTAAAATATTATAGCACCTTGGTTAGACAAAGGACTCTTTTTGCACAAAGAAGAAATGAGCATCGATTAATAAGCTTATTCGAGAAGGAATATTAATATCAGAGTGATGTTTTTATTATACCGACTAGCTGATCCGGCAAACTTTGTACCGCCTTAAAATTTCTATTTTTACCCGACTCTTTTTCACTTTTTAAACCTTCCCTGGACTTCCACGAATATTTCAAGACCAAAATTACCCAAATCGGTTCAGGCGTTCTCGAGTTTTAGCGAGACTAACAAATAAAAATTAATTTTTATTTATATCGACGATACGCGATTCTGATTTCAATCATTTCAAAAGCTCAATTTCAAATCTATTTTTTTAAGTAATTAGGTACCTCAACTTATATTAAATATTAAAAAATAAAACTCTGCAAGTCACCAGTAAACCATTATCTTTATCTTTATCTATCTATACATATAATAAATTCGTAGAAAAGTCAAAACTGTACATTTTTGACACATCGATACTGAAATCAAAAATGTTTGAGAATTTTTGTCTATTTGTCTGTATGTATGTCCGGGATGATTTCAAAAAGTACTACATGGATTTACTTCGAATTCTGCATGAATATTATTAACAAGTCGAGTCAACATATAGGCTACATATAGAAGCCCTATACTAGATACTAAATCAATTATAACGACATTCGATATCGTAGAAATTCCACTGGATAAAGACTAATTCAAAAGCCTAAATTCTTCCAGAAGTCATAATTCTATGCAGACCAAGTCGCGGGCAACAGCTAGTTGCCAAATATATTTGCTACTTAGAAAGATAAATACTAACACGTGTTCGGATTTCTATACAAAAATGAGATGAAATTATAAAAAGGTTCTCAAGGCTATAAACGTTTGTCGTTAAGCGTGTAAAACATTATGAAATTATAAATATTATAAGACAAATCGTTTACGTAAAAGAACATTATATACAAAGTCAATGTCTAAAGGGACGAATAGTAATAAGGGAGGAATTTTATAGTATTGTAGGACTTTTAGTAAGTAGTTATTTATTATTTTAGTGAATTTTCGGATGAAGTTTATCCCAACTATTGCGAAATATAAAAGCATGATCGCCGTTCAAATCGAGACAATACAGAAGTCAATAATCATATGGTTAGATTTAACATGGATAGAAAAGTAATAGGACTAGTACCGATATCTGGAGCGATTTGCTTGAACTAGGTTTATGCAACCTGTGTTTCAAGTCTTCACTTTATTACTATGCATGTTAAATCTATGCAGGCCTATACCTATTTACTGAAATGTTTCTTACGTGTAATAATAGTTGTAATCAACAGCTCAAGGCTGATGTTACGTGAATGACATGAAAACAAAAAGATAAAAATTGTAAAAATAATTTCTTTTTGTCATTGTTTTAGGAGCGTTCCGTTCACACCATATATAGAAACGATAGGTAGGATATCAAATAAGGAAGAATATAAAAATGGCTACACAGCTAAATCGACAAATAAATAATTCAATTGTTCAGAAGTTTGTAAATTACTTTAAATAGTTACTGTCCGGTAGATATCGGTCGTCCCCTGGGACCTTCAGATTTCAAAAAAGTTTGCTACAAAAATATTATCTGTTCTTACACTTGGACATTTTCACAAAACTTCTCTCTAATTTCGTCTCTAGATAGTCAAACTTTGTTCTTTCGTAGCCCTATCTCAGGATGTATTAGAAATAGATGTGCCGAGTGAGTGGCAGGTTAGATGTTGAGTTGTCTAGGCATCATTCAAAATATTTTATTTTGTTTAAAAATATAAGTATTCGCCAATATTTTTACTTTCTCCTGAGTATAAATAATTATGGCATTATTGTGCTTTTAGTTTGGAATCTATCTAAATTATATAACTGACTACTTGTAATACCGTAAATAAAAAGGATGTGTTATAACCGAATAAGTTTATTGGTGTTATTTTTCTTAATATATCTAATCTATGAATATATATCTATGTTCCTACTAAAATTCATAGAAATATAGGTTTATTCAGCAAACCACCACTACAAAACTCGTTTTAGGAAATCATGGTATTTCTTCGAAATATTCTCGTCACAGTTTTTTTGCTGACATAACTTTATTACTGAACATGAACGATAAACAATCTTTATGAGACTAGTTAAACAGTAAATTCTAATAAACTCCTCCACAGTTTATGTTACGTACTCTCTATAGATACACTCAAAAACAAACTCAATGAACCGATGTTTGTGCAGTTTTTACCATAGCACAGTGAAACAATTTTCATGAAAAGTTTGGGAGTTCCAGAAGGAAAAAAATAAAATCATTAAACTGTCAAACACCGCGAAGACACCGGTGACCGCAACCTATTGTTCTTTAATTGTCTATAATGACGGTATTCAAAGGGTATTCTATAATGGTATTCTATATCGGTATTCTATAATAACGGTATTCGAAAAACACTCACCGTCACAAATCTGTATCCCAACACGCTGATGACACCAGCACCAATACCAATAGCTATAGCGACTCCAGGCCCAATGAACAGGTTGGCGACAGCTCCCACTCCCACACCACCAGCAAGGGTGGAGTTCTGAATGTGCACCATGTCCAGCTTGCCTGGTTTATGGCTCACCATTGCAGAGAGGACGAATGTTGTCACCTGATGATAAAAGAGGATTTAATGTCGATTTCTTGGTGAATTTAATACTACATCCTAAATTGTATAGCTCTGACTGAGTCTGTATTTCCTGAAGAGCTGTGTTCAAGTCTCGAGTGAATAGGTTGCTAATGGGTAGGCGTGCTCTATCGTAGGCCGCACCATCGCTTACCATCAGGTCAGATAGTGGTTAAACGTCTACCCCATTACCAATAATAAAGTAAAAAGTGTATTGTATCATAAGCCTAAGCTATAAGTGTCACAAAATGTCAGAGCCAGATATGCGAGTAAAAGTTTTTTTTTTTTCGATAACATATCACTTTCATTTTTATTCTTTTTCTTCTTATCCTAAGTGTGACTGCCGGGCAAGGGATCTCGGGTTCGATTCCCAGGTCGGGCAAAGTCTTACTGGGTTTTTCCATAAACCCTCAGTACTAGCACGGAGTCTGGAAATGTGCACAGTATATGGCAATAGTCTCCCCCTCTATTACATAGGGCTCATAACATAAAATAGTGTAAAGTGTGTGTTACTTTGTACAGTAGCATTAAGTGCAGTAATGTACACCTCTGCCAAGCCTTCGGGGATAAAAATGTTATATCTTCTTATTCTTCGAAAAGATTGAAGCTTTTATAGGTTGGAAAATCCGTACCTATAATAAAATTAGAGTTTTGAAGCCGAAAAATGTTTACTCGTACTTTATGAACAAAAAATGTTCTTACCGTAGCTGCAGCTAAAGACAGGTAAGTGTTGACCACTGCTCGCTGAGCTTCGGCGTCAGTTTGCGCCAAACCGGAGTTGAACGATGGCCAGAAGATCCATAGGAATATTGAACCTGTGGAGTATACAACAAAATATAATCATGTTTCTATGATTCATTAAAAGTAGGTACTGTAGACAGAAAACTGTTAGTTATTATGAAATGGCTCTTTATTCTTTAAAGACAGTTCATCAGTTTCCAAAAATCTTAACATTCCTCCATAAGATGATACCGAACTCGACCCCTATTCACAATCTATGACTTATTATTCATATTCTTAAACACAAATTAAAAGAATGATATAATATTACCAGCATTTTATACTTTTAATGAACACTTACAACAATCAAAACAAATAACAACAAAACTATGCATAAAACGAGGAGCACTGATGAAGCGTAAACGTCAGGAACAATCTAGAACAATCTAGAAGTATCTAGGTCAGTCCGTCACAGTGCCGGATAATGGAGCGAACGAAGGGGAGAACATTTTCAATAATATTAAAAGACACTCTCTACCTAAGCTGAACTGCGAACTGCATTTATGGCAGTTTAGAAACTTAGTTTGAGTTATGAACATTTTATGTATCTTTAGAATGAATTTTCTTTTATTCCGTTCTTAAGAGTAGGTGTAACATGGTGGTGTTACGTAATTTCTCTGACTTTAGCTCATAGTTCTGTATTCTTATTCAGGCTATGTCTAGGGCAAACCTACATACTACTACTTCATACAACAAGTGAGTACAGGTGGACTTAATGCCTTGGGCATTGTCTCTCAGTCAACCTTGAGCAGTGCAGAGATGAAAGTAGAAGGTGATTTTAAACCTTTATAAATAGGCAGTGTACCAGTATAATAAATAACAAATATCACAATCATAATATTCAATAAACACTATATACCTATATGGTGATTGATTATATTTGAAAACTTATACTTACTTACATATAGCAATTATTATGTAGTCATTATATAAATAATAAGTATACCTACGTGTGCGTTTCTGATAACTAACCCGACTAATATTATAAACGCGCAAGGCTGTGAGGATGGTACATATGTGTGTGTTTGTTCCTCTTTCACGTCAAAACGGCTGAAGGGATTCAAATGTAATTTGGAACAAAGGTAGATCATAGTCTGGAATAACACATAGGATATATTTTAACCCACGAGAACGCGAGCGAAGCCGCTAGGAGAAGCTAGTTTCTGATAATTTTGATAGCTTTTTATGGGATAAGATATAAACAAGCTGAAGGATTGTCTAATTTTAAGTCGGCTCTGACCTTGGTTTTAGTATCACCAAAAGAGTTACAAGTGCTTTATCAGCCTTTTGAGGTGTAACGTGCACCTCTGCCCACCCTTCCAATGATAAAAAGGCGTGATATTATGTATTATGTTATGGAATGTAGCCTCCAGTACCTTTCTCGAAGGATAATTTAAATCATAACACATCGTGAACAACATTATATGTAAACCAACGTACCAAGCATAGCAGTAATATCGGAGATGTAGGTGGGTCCATCGAGGCGCTCAGTACCGGCCGCGTCCGGTCCAGTGGGCTTCCTCAACCTAAATGCAGTGCTCACTCCCAGCCCGAAGTACGCACCATACGTGTGAATACCTATAGAGCCACCTATGTCTGTGACCTGGAAATAAAGGGTATATTCAAAAGGTTTCTGATACATTTAACATAGGTACATAATCCTTCCGGGGTATTTCTTTCTGTTTGTAAAAATAGTGCCCAGGTTAGGACTCAAGACTCCGTAATCGGCTATCCACGTGACGATTTAATGCTTGGGGATTAAACTAAGCGTTCACTATTATAGACCTTATTTCCGATGTTTACAGACTACTTTTGTATGCACAAATTTTGTGGAGTCTTCGTAAGATATATGTATTTACGAAACAATGAGGCTGCATCAAATTTTTATAATACATGCATACATATAATATTATTTCGACTGCACGAATGGCGTGGTGGCTGGGCAACTGACTGCCATGCAACGTGTCGCGGGTTCGATTCCCGCACAGAACAAATCTTTGTGTTATCCACAGATTCTTGTTCCGGGTCTGGTTGTTACGTGTATGTGAACTTGTATGTTTGTAAACGCACCCACACAGGAGAAAATCCAAGTATGGGGCAACGTGTTAAAAAAGATCAAATTATCATCAACCTTACAAAAGCATATTGACATAATGATACTTCTTGTACCCGAATTTTGGCATGTAATCTAACCCTAAAAGGAACATCTACAGGAACAACAACGTTGTCCCGGAATTATACTGGCCTGAAGGAATTATTATTCGACGTCACATATTTATAAGAAACGATTTTACAAACAATTAGCGTATATCTAATATGTCACCCACGAGTAAGAAAACAAGCGTGGCCAACAAATTAAATATGACCAACGCCCATAAAACGCAATATGTAATTCCTATAAAAATGAGCAGTCATTTTGCAAATCGTTTACGTATTCTGATACAAACATGACGCTAACATCTAAACCTATAATACATTTGCATGGCACTGGAACAATATCCACATCCTTTTTTTATGGCATAAGCCGGTAAACGAGCAGGCGGATCACCTGATGGTAAGCAATCGACGTCGCCCATGAAACTGGAACACCATAGGCGTTACAAATGCGTTACCGGCTTTTTGGGGTTAGGATTTTGAGGATTGTTGGGGATTCAGGGATTGGGGAAAGGGGGGGGGAGCGTAATTGGGCATCCGATAACCTCACTCACACGACGAAACACAACACAACGTTGTTTAACGTCGGTCTTCTGTGAGGCCGTGGTACATGCCGAAGCATGGCTCTCTCACACTTAAAACTCCCACATATTAAGTCCCTGTTACTATCGGCAGTAGCCACAATCGTTCAAACAGGCGTTTTATAAAAAAAAAAGCATTTAAGTTCAAGAAAAGAAGTAATCAAAATCGAATCTACATTTGAATTACAACCCTAAGAGGCTATAAAATGAGTTCAAGAATACTTAAAAAAAGAACTAGGTACTTTTCCATTATACAGCTAGTATACAAAGCAATACCAACCTTATAAACACTTTCCATTAGGTACAAATTTATGCAGCCGACTGCTGTTTCTATGATGGCTATGAACAATAGCTGGGTTCCGCTTGCAAGACCCAGTAAAGCTCCGAACGTGATGAGGACAGTCGCGGACATAATGTCAGCCTCTGTGGAATTAATTAAAAAGATGTTACGTAAACAGACATATTATTGAACTGTGCAGAAATAAAATAGAATGCAAAGTTGTTATTGGTGTAAAATGTCTTCAGAACTTATGAAATCAATTTGAAATATAACCGCGAACATATCTAGATTTTTTGAAGAGCACAGCTTTTGTAATGGTCTATGAGAGAGGAATACAAATATGAATGTAATTAAAAAATGATATTCACATTTAATTTGAATTGTAACTTGTTGCTGGTCGCGAAATGCTGCTCATGAATATGAGCCTCTATCATAGCTTGAAACTAGTCGAGTTCCTCGTCAAATTACTACGTGAGTAAGCCGAAAACATAATAATTTATTCACATTTAACTTCAAAATAGACACATAATACAGCATTCCATGTTAGAAAAATCATTAACGATTTGTTTGGCTCATTACTTCAATTAACACCTTAATATTCTCATTATTTGATGCTAGTTAGTGTGAAACAGTGAACTTATTTCTAATTCCTGCTCATTCGTAATTAATTCTAAGAAACCCTCATCTTGAATTGCTAAAGGTCAAGAAACTGAAAATCAACAGCGTCTAATTCAATCTCGGCGGCCTAAAGAAAATTCAGTTATATACAAAATTGTAATTGAATTTAAAACAATATCAAAACATTTGGGCGATGCTTTAAAAGCTTTTCTTTTGTGAAATGAAATAAAGAGGAAATTGAGCATTTAAAATTTTGCCTTTATTAAAATTGGAAGCAGGACCAACGTTATTGTTGGACACTGTAATATTGTTATTGTTTTTCAAGGAGAACTTTAGGAACTAAATGAAACATCAAGTCTTTGGACTTAATTGCAATATTCTTTCGAAAAGACTACTTCAAGCAAAGGTATCTGAAAAATTACTGATGCTGCTCTTAATTAATTATTTATGATTTTTATGAAAATTTCGTATGTATGATACAAGTGATTTGTACGTAAAATTGTAAGCACTTAAGAAAAAAACCTAGTGTGGGGCCACAATTTCAGATCTTTTAGTTTTCGTTTGTTTAACTCGTCGAGTACCGGTTTTGTAGACACAATTATAGAACAATAGGTTGCGGTCACCGGTGACCGCTTGGTGTTTGACAGTTTAAAATAGGGTAGATGACTAATTTTTATTTTAATGTCCGTCTGGTAGATTATTTTAAAGCATTACACACGTATTTCTTATTTTTTTACAGAAACGAATACTTACGACGATATATTGATTTAAAATGTCGCGTGACGTCACTTCTATGTCCATTTAATTTTTATACATAGAAATGACGTTTTAGCCTCCACTCCTAAACTTTGATTCGTTATATCTAAGTATCATTTTATTATACAACAAAATAAAAAATACGTGTCCAATATTTTTTTATTACCTAACTGATGGACTAATTATATTTTTAATGTGCATACCCTGTCATCATCCCTATTACTAAAATATGTTTGTTTTATCATTACAATCGTTATCCTTGTATACCATTCACTCACTATCGTTTACCCACCAAGTTTATAAAAACAACTTACCCAATAAACTTTTCTTCGTTATATGAATCATATTGTCTTTCATATGGAAGAAGGATTGGCAGAGCAGTGCCCACTGTATGACCAATGCTGCTAAAAACCAGTTGTATCCAAGAGCAGAGTAGCAATACTTCTTAAGGAATGTCATGAGATACGCAAAGCCGATGAATATCATCACATGTGTGTCTTCAAAGCCTGAAACAATAGAAAATTTATAGATTAGACGAATTGTAACTTTATTGCAATGGGATAAGATAGGTTATTTGTTACAGTAATTGGATCGATGAAATAACTTTTTGTTAAATAATAAATTTTTGTTATTTTTAAATCGCCAACCCGCATTGAGCAATCGTGATGATTAATGCTGAAGTCTTCTCCGTGTGAGAAGAGGCCTTTGGACAGCAGTGGCCACTTATAGGCTGTTGTAAAAGATAAATAGAACTTCATTAAAATGCAACAGAATTTTCGAAAACATGACATAATTATATGTATGTGTTTGTACATCTTAATTAGAGTTCAGTACAAAATTGCAATATTATACACTTTTATTTTCTAGGAAAAGCTAGGAAAGACAGGAAATATCAGTTGTCTCTTTAATATCTTTTTCGACTAAGAAACTTTAAAAATATTCAATTTATAATTCATAATTTTGCTTGATCAAAACCTAAAGAAAGGGACAAGGCAATGACCTAGACCTAGGTCCTATACGAACCGAAATGAACCTAAATCACTTGAACATAAGTCATAAAACTTTTCATTTTAATTTAAGCACTAGTAATAAAATGGTAAATAAACAAAATTTACGGCCAACCAACCTATTGAACTTTTTATGGGGATTTTTTAAACGTATCAAAATACACCCATTTTGAACTTCATCACGCATAAAGGGAACAATACAGGGACCCTTTATATCTCTTTTTATCTCTATGTACTGGTACAGGATGTGCAAATTTTTACATGATAATAATTAAAAATTTTACACTACTCATGAAACTAATTGCATTCGCTATCATGATCATATTAGCACAAGATGTCTAACTTTCTCCCAAAAGGTAAATATGGCATGAAGTCAAAAATATTTTTAGTCTACTTGTTGTTTGGAGGGGTCAAAGAATTCAATGCACTATCATCAGCTTAGAAAGTGAATTGAGATCTGTGCCTAAGTTTTTGATACTATGCAAAATTTTAAAGAAAAATATGTCTAATAATAAAAAGTATAATGAACGCATCATTATACTTTTCTTATGCATTACTTAAAAATAAGCATTAATCTCATAAAATCTTATATCAAAATATTGCTAACGAATTTCGTTACAGCCTGTATTCATACCACAGCGGTAATTGTTAGAATGTCAAATGAAAAATTGCAAATAAAATTACACAATTCATTGTTTTCTGGCTCAAAATGTACCCCTCGAGGATAATGGGACTTAAAGCGGAATAAATAGAACGTGGGACGATTGTATATCTACTATTTATTGTTGTTTTTTTTTTTACTTTCTTTCTTTTGTTTTATGATCTTTTTTGCTAATGTGGTGTAGGGGGTTGGGAACGTGGGTTGTTGAAAATGGGTTGAATTTTTTATTAGATTGAAATAATTTACCTACGTATCGCGGGTTACTCACGTAAATATACTGAGAAAAGGTCTACTAGTTTCGAACTGTGCACCAGTCGGCTGCGCGACATCGCTGCGACCGAGCACGCTGCTCATGAGGAACAACCCCTCTGTGGTTCGAAACTAGTGGAGCTTTTCTCAGTATATTCACGCGATTAACCCGCGATTTTTAGTTAATTTAATATGTCTCACGATAATTATTATGAAATAATTTGCTTCCTCAGATAAGGCCCCAAATAAGACTGATGCCGATACGAAGCCGCGGAAGACTTAACGGGTTGCCGAGGCTCTGGTATGAAGTGCAGGAGCAGGAACGGGGTGGTTTTTAGTCAGTAAGACTCTGACACTCCTCTTGCTGCATTCGGGCGGGAGAAGGCATTGGATGATTTTCTCCCATCAAAAAAGAAATCAATACTATTTGAATATAGGTAACAGATTTTGATATAGTTGTATGAAATGACTTTTAATTAAATAAATCTGTCCCTTGCTAGAAGTAACTTAATATTCTGATTAAGAATTATTTATGTCTGTTAACCTTTTCTTTGTAAGTTGACCAAAAGTAGATGCGCAAATCATCAAGTATGTTATTTTGACATCAAATATTCTTAGAAACAGACACTCAAGGGTTATTGGCTGTAATAGCAAAATTAGGATAAGTTGTCCTACTTTTTTGTATACCCATATGTATCTAATAATATGTGTGATTATTCAAACTATAATCCAATTCAACCAATAAGGGGAATGAACTAACTTTCAAAAAAAGAATTTATTTATACTATCTATGCCTAAAACTTAACATTTTTTTAGCATCCCCCTGTGGCTGGTCGTCGCTTTCGAGCTTACTCGGCTTCAAATGATCCAGTTTACAATAATATATAACAACCCATAACATCACGCCTTTTATCCCCGAAGGGGTAAAGCAGAGGTGCACACAGAAGTAACACCCACTTTTCACTGCTTATATTATGAGCCCCATGTAATGGCATCTATGGCCATATTTAAGACTGCCTCGATGGCCGAGTGGTCGCAAGTGCGACTACCGGGCAAGGGGTTCGAATTCCCGGATAGGGCAAAGTATTACTGGGTTTTAAAAAAATCTCAATAGTAGCACGAAGTCTGAAAATGTGCCCGGTATAATATGGCAATAGGCTCACCCCTACAACAACCCCAAAGATAAAAATGGTTGTTTCGTGCAATATGCATCTCTATGTGTACTATTTGGAAATTCAAAATCAATTTACTTTAATCCCTTGAGAGTGGTGCATAAGCTTGAACTATTGCTAGTCAATATTGAGTGCACCCTGTACATACATACCTACAGGTGCACTCGTACTCCGAGTTTACTTATATATATTGTTGTATCTATAGGTGTTATGCAAAACGTTAGATGTATAGACTCTCTCGGATGGATGGTGCATACTGCTACACATATATTTTTTTTATGCCATAAGCCGGTCAACGAGCGGACGGATCACCTGATGGTAAGCAATAGGCATCGCTCATGGACACGTAGAACACCAGAGGCGTTGCAAGTGCGTTACCGGCCTTTTGAGGATTAGGTTTTTGTGGATCGTTGGGGATTCGGGAATTGGGGAGATTGGGGAAGGGGATAATTAAGCCTCCGGTAACCTCACTCATACGACGAAACACAACGCAAGCGTTGCGTCACGTCGGTTGTATGTGAGGCAGTGGTGTCACTCCGGTCGAGCCGGCCCATTTGTGGCAAAGCATGGCTCTCCCACACTTAAAACTGGTATTGCACAATTTGTGCTAAACCAGTATAAACTGATTGTCGAATGTGCGGAAAGATTATATGAAGCGAGATCACAATAAAGTGGTTTTGTATAGGTTGGTGTGTAGCTGTATATGTATGTGTATGTGTATGACGTAACACTCGAACACAGTGCATGTTAGGGATTAGCCCTACCCTTGTGCTCCACAATATTTAAAAATGGTTCGTTTAATTCTGTTTTAGTATCACTAGGTACAGGATCCTTTACAAAAAGCTTTGTAGGTTTTAAAAGGTTTCTGTATTGGAAAGGTAGATAGATTTTTATAATAGAATACTGAAATAAAATAAGTAAATAGTATTAAAATAATGTAATTTTTTTTCTTTTCTCACAAAATACTTTCGACGATATATTAATTTGACATATCGTGTGACGTCACAGCGTGTCACATTTTGTAGCACGTTATGACGTAACGACCTTCCACTCCTAAACTTAGCGCCATTTTATCTAAGTATTGCAACTTAATACAAGAAAATAAAAAATACGTGTCTAATATTTTTTCATTATCTAACTGACTGACTAATTAGATTTTTAATTTTGTTACCCTGGAAACTATCTAATTGTTTCGAAGGAAATGGCAGAGATGTTTGAATGAACATTTTAATTTTCCTAATCAAATCCTAACATTGGTAAACTAAAACAAATCTACAGACATAAACTAGTCTCACATAAAAACAGAAATATGATAATATTCAATTTCATCCTTTTTTCTGTATTTACATAAATATGAAAAAGTTATAACGAAGTTGGTGACAGCTTTGAATCTTCTTTCGTATGTGTTAAGAAAATGAATACATTTAGACACCCATGTATGTATTTCATGAATAAATGCGACTTTCTGCTACTTGGATTTAAACAAATCTAATCATAAAACTTGGTAAGAATAAGGTACCTAACATATACATAAAAATAAGTATCGTCATGACTTTTGACTGCAACGGCTTGGGGTTTTTAATAAAGACTCTAAAGACGATTACATCATGTGTTCGCCATCGTTTTAACAAGAAAACAAAGGGTTGTTAAACACTAATATATTTCCAAACATTCTCACACAGTAAAAATTTAGACATTTTTAGAACGAAGTACATAAAATACTTATACAGTACAAACTTAACGAGTACGATTGTACTCGAAAAGTGACTTCTTTTCCTTATATTTGATAGTCACGTATGCGGCTACGAGATCAAGGAGAAATCGGGATAAAATACATACATAGCATGTTAAAATAAAAGCCCATATAAAAATATTTTCAATAGGATTACTTTAACTTGATCTAACAAAGTACACTCCATGTGGAAAATCTTCATTTCAACGAAATATTTCTTTTTATACTTGTTCTAATGACATTATGTTACAATGATAAAAATATCTCCTTTGTAAAGAGAACAATGATGCCTTATTATTTCTCTATTCGATAGCTAACAATGTAACTCTATCAACTTCCAATGTTAAGCCTTTATCCGATGGTCTATGATTAGATATTGTGATATATCATAAGTGTGGGAGAGCCATGCTTCGGCACGAATGGGCCGGCTCGACCGGAGTAATACTACGGTCTCACAGAAAACCGACGTGAAGTTTGCGTTGTGTTTCGTCGTGAGAGGTTACCGGAGGCCCAATTACCCTCCCCTTCCCTAATCTCCCCAATCGCTGAATCCCCAACGATCTCCCCCCAAAAGGCCGGTAACGCACTTGTAACGCCTCTAGTGTTCCAGGTGTCCATGGGCGACGCCGATTGCTTACCATCAGGTGATCCGTCTGCTTATGCTTATGGCATAAAAAAATATATA